TGTCAGCCACCATTGTTGTGGTGTAAGGGTGAGGTAATGCAGAGAAATGGTTGTACTTGGTGAGACGGTCAACCACTACCATGATAACCTCCTTTCCTGCAGAACGAGGAAGACCCGTGATGAAGTCCATGGAAAGGTCTTCCCACACTTGATCTGGAATCTTGAGGGGTTGTAGAAGGCCAGCGGGAGACTGTGACGAGTATTTCTGCTGTTGACAAGTTTGGCATTCGGATACATAGTGCAATACATCCTTACGCATTCCTACCCAATGATAGTGGCTGTTGAGCCTCTTTAGGGTCCGTAGCACCCCTGAGTGCCCTCCCAAGGCGGAGTCATGAAACAACCTTAGCAGTTCAGCTTTGTGGGCCGAATTCTGGGCAACAACAAACCAACCCCTAAAGAAAAAGATCAGGCCCACAACTTGGTAACCAGCAACTTGTGAAGGGTCTCGCCTCCACTTATCTCTAATGACCTGCAACTGCGGATCAGACCTGGCTTCTTGCCGTATAGCTTCAAACAAAGGGAAGCTGGGCTGAGAGCAACTCAAATGGGCTAACTCTTCTACTCATGACAAGGCATCAGCTACTCTGTTTGCGGGCCCCGTCTTATATTCTATGAGGTAGTCAAAGCCCATCAGTTTACTAAGCCATTTTTGTTGCTTCGGGGTGCGCACCCTTTGCTCTGCTATGTACTTCAAACTTTGTTGGTCTGTCCTAATAACAAATTGGCGTCCCAATAGGTATGCACGCCACTTTTGCACTGCCATTACCACAGCCATCATTTCTTTGACATAAGTGGACTGATTTTGGTGAGCTGCTGAGAGAGCCTTGCTGAAATAAGCAATGGGCTGCCCTTCTGCATCAAGACGGCCCCTACTACACCTAACGCATCACATTCTATTTCAAAGGGCTGAGAGAAGTCTGGAAGAGTGAGGACTAGAGGGCTAGAAACTGCTGTCTTCAAATCTTCAAAAGCCCGTTGGGCTTTATCAGTCCAACTGAAGGAATCCTTCTTTAATAGACGCATTAGAGGGGCGGCCATAAGCCCATACCCCTTAATGAAGCGCCTATAATATCCGGTAAGCCCAAGAAAGCCCCGCAGAGCCTTTACAGTAGTGGGCTTGGGCCACTTTTGGATGGCGTCTACCTTTTCTGGGTCTGCCATGAACCGACCTGCTGCAACCACATGGCCTAAGTATTGAATTTGTCCTTGTCCAAAGGAACACTTTGTCATTTTGGCATGTAACTAGTGCCCCCTTAGAGTTGTGAGGGTGAGTTTCAGATGTTCCATATGTGTGTCCCAATCCCTACTGTACACCAGAATATCATCAAAAAACACCAAAATAAATCGCCTTAGGAATGGCCTGAAGATGTCATTCATGAGAACCTGAAAGGTGGAGGGGGCGTTGGTGAGTCCAAAAGGCATAACCAAAAACTCATAATGGCCATCGTGGGTCCTAAAGGCCGTCTTGTGGATGTCAGCCTGGTGGACCCAAATCTAATGATACCCGGACCGCATGTCTAATTTGGAGAACACTCATGCCTCTCCTAACTCATCCAATAGTTCATCAATGAGGGGTATAGGAAACTTGTCCTTCACGGTAATCTGATTCAAGGCCCGGTAATCTACGCAAAAGTGCCAACTACCATCTTTCTTCTTCACTAAGAGTATAGGAGATCAAAAAGGGCTGGTGCTAGTCTGTATATGCCCTTTTTCCAATAGTTCTCTCACCACCTACTCAATTTCTAGCTTCTGAAAGTAAGGGTATCTATATGGCCTCACATTGGCCGGTTTAGAACCAAGTAAGAGAGGTATCTGATGATCATGAGCCCGGGGTGGAGGCAATTGGTTTGGCTCCTTGAATACATCGCCAAACTGATCGAGTATCGATCGTAAGGCCTCGTGTTGGGCTTCTATGGGGTGAACACAGCCCTGGTTGTCTAGAATTGGGACTGTGGGCCGAATGCCTAAGTGCATAAATATGGGTTGGCCAGCATCCTTGGAGGCCCGTATCATGGAGGCTAAAGTGTCACCTTGTGGACTAGGGGGCTGCATCACTTGTAAATGACAAGTCTGGCCATCCTGGTGAAAATCCATTGTCATTTTGGCCCAATCACATAGAGCAAGGCCCAGGCCACGCAACCAATGAATCCTCAAAATAATATCAGCCCCCGAGAAATCCAATGGGTGGAGATCCACCACAAAATTATGGCCCTGTATGAGGATTTTTTCCTTCTTACATACACCATTACACGACATCTGACTCCCATTAGCCACATGGATTGAAAAGATAGGAGTGGGTTGTATGGTCATACCTAGCTGCTTAGCCAAATGGCAAGTGATGAAATTCAGGGTAGAGCCACTGTCAATCAAAATCATCACGGTCTGGCCCATCAATCTTCCTTCTACGCGCATGGAATGAAGAAAGTTGAGGCCCATGAGGGCCTGTAAGGAGATCTCGGCCCCGTCAGGTTCTGGTCCGTCTGGAATCAGTTCACAGTCATTTAAGTGCTCTGGGTCTGTCTCTTCCAGTTCTTCCTCTGTCTGTAGGAGAAACACCCGTTGGACCCAGCATTTATGGCCCGGTCCAAACTTATCATCACAGTTATAGCAAAGGCCTTTCTCGCGTCGGGCTTGCATCTCAGCCCATGAGAGACATTTGAAGGGCATAGTGGGTTGGGGAAATATGGGCTTCTGATGATCCCCAACCGGTTTCATGGGCTATTGATCAACCCGTGGAGGAGTCCTCAAATTCGGGTAGGTCGGTTTGCTAGCTCTACGAAGGTTGTCGATTCTTTCTTCTTGCAGGCGAGCCAATCCCACGGCAGCCATGACAGTCGCCGAACGGAGAGCCCTCACCTCCAGACGGATATCCTCTCTGAGACCTCCCACAAAACATCCTACTAAGGCTTTCTCCGGCCAGCCGTGTACCCTGGTCGCCAGCCGCTCGAACTCAAGCTGGTACTCTGCTACCGTTCCAGTCTGCTTCAACCGAGTGATAAGCTCGTCGTAGTCCACAAACGTCGTCGGCCCAAAGCGGATGCACAAAGCTTCAGTGAACTCCGCCCAAGTTACCTGGGGATGATTCTGGCGATACCACTGGAGCCATAGAATCGCGTCTCCTTCTAGATGAATGGAAGCGATGGAGACACGCTGGTGTGCAGGAGTTTCGTGGTATTCGAAATACCTTTCTGCTCGAAAGATCCAAGGAATGGGATCTCCACCGGAATAGTTGGGAAAGTTTATCTTAATGACTTTTCCGGTGGGGTAATACCCTGTTCTTTGGCTACTAGAAGCATAGGCTTCCGCTCCTGCTGGGTGATTGGTCTCGTCGGACTGTTGCTGAGAGGCGAAACTGGAGACGACCACTTTGAGTTCCTTGAGTTCGTTCAACACCTGGTGGAATCCAACCTCAAGCTGGTCAACCCTATCATCCACGGTAGTGGAACATGTCTGTGGCATTGTGAAGCCTGTGATTTGGATAGCCTGGCTCTGATACCAATCTAATGAGTTACCGCTCACCTCGGAAGCCCCTTCGAGGGTGGCTTAACCTCCTGAAACAGAAGATGGGGGGGGGGGAGAGAGAGGGGAAAGGTAGGAAGAAAATGACTCAGAGAGAGATGAAAGGGATATTCATTCATGCAACTTATTACATGATCAGGGCCTTATATTGTTGGCCTACATGTATGCAATCATGGAGAGAATATCTTCTGGTGGCAGTGTAACTAACTCTAGGAGGCTCTGCCACATGTCACGCTAGCCCCTCTGTCTTTTAGTGAAATGTTGTTCGGTGGTGGCCTGCTCCACTCCTACGGTTGGGTTCGGAGGGAGTGTTTGGGTCCCAACAGTTTCCTTCCATCTAGCTTACAAAAGAGCCCCAGAAAGGTTTTTGTTCCTGCAGAGTCTTCAGCTCCTATTTTGGGAAGGGGGAGGTGAGTTGACTCAGCGGGTTGGGGAGGAGACTTGGTCATCTTCTCCACTTTGACTGAGAGGTAGAACTAGACTCCGCGCTCTAACAGAGGAATGGAGCGGGGAATCGCATGAACTCCCCGGCTTCTAACCTCTATACGCGCAAAACTCAAGGCTGGAAGCTCTTTAGTTTTCCTGTCGATTTCCTCTAAGCTGCCACACAAGCTTCCGATTAGGATGAAGTGCTCCTTAGTCCAGAGGTGGTAGGGCAGCCCGTGGATTTTTAAACAGCCGTTAAAGACTAAGGAGTCTGGAGAGGCGTTGCTCATAGGAACCTACCATTCCAGAGCTATCGGTTTTCCATACAACTGAAGATTCTTTAGGCTAATCCACTTTAGTACTAGCTCCTCAGATGGAGCAAAGCCCACCGCTCTATTAGCATCGATGGGGTGGATATTTACTAGCTCATGAGAGTGAAGATTGGCTGAGAGACCTAGCGTCACTTCCCTCCAAGAAAGAGCTTCATGCTTGGTGCAAACGAAGGCTTGCTTCCACAAACCGAAGGGCTTATCTTGGTGAATCACTGAAATGAAAGCAAACCCTCCTGGCTTATCTTGGTGAATCTAAAAACCTTCATTAATAGAGTTCCACCTAGAATCATATTCCATTTAGACCAACGAACTTCTGTTAGCCATCTATGAATTCCCAACATCATTGACAACCATTGATTTTTTTTTTTTAAATATGATCCCACTAAACAGCTCCTCCTAACAACAAACTGTAGACCCAAATGCTACATTTCATAGAAATAGATGGAAAACTACCATGGATTAGCAAAATCTTAAACTTCTTCCAACATGTCAGCTGCATTAGATTCATCCTCTTTAAAAATCAAAGTTTGCATATTTTGTGGCATAAACAAAATTGAGAAGTATATGCAAAAAAAGAAACCAATAAAATCAAAGAACAAAAAAAGACAAATATAAAGATTTTCAGCTCTAGATATTTAAATTTTGGCCAAGAGCAAGACAAGGAATAATTGTTAATTACAAGATGAAAGTAGATTTGATAACCAAACCAGAAATTCATACCTTAACTGTGAGAGATCCCCTGTCCTTCTTATCTATAATTTTCATCATATCAAGTGACGGTAGCAGTCTCAAATCAAGCTCTTTTGGAATATCAGGTTCCAAGCCATGCAAAGGTAATTTTACTATGCCCAATCTCTTGTCTTGTGTAACATCCTTATCAAAAACCTGTGGCACAATTTACATATATTGTTTTACTAATTCATCTCCAACTTTTCCATATCAACAGGGAAAATAGAGAAAAAAACTTCACTTGAAACTGTTAAAACAAGAAAATGGGTAAAACATATTGCCTTCTTGATTGAGCAGTGATTGATGAATGATGTTAACTAGAACACTGAATACTTGAAAATACAGACTTTTAGGGAGCATGTTTTCCAGTTGAGTCATTTAGTGGAATCTAAATGATGCAGAAAACTTCAACATGGCTTTTGATTCAGGCTGAAAAGGAGTCCCCAAATTCCTCTCATCCTAGATTAATGAGAAAAACTTCAACCTAAACCCTTCCATGTGTTTTAGATAAGTTCTCTTCAATGAGCAACTTTCAAATTAAAAACTAAATAAATTCCAACTATTAATGTAATATAATTCCAATAGATTGGATTAGGGATAATGTAGATTGCAGGGTTCGACATATGGCCAATCAGAAGGTTCTCCTATCTGATAAACAATCTAGATTGGCCACAATAGGCTCCGCATCTGTCTTGTTGGATCACTTAGGAATTTTCTTAAATGACATAGGAATCTTGTGTATGGTTTAGTTGGGAGCCCAAAGAGGAGGCCTACATCAAGCACTTGCCATGTGTCAAAAATAAGCCGTTCTTTTGGGGTAAATTTTATAGTAAAAGCAAGTAGACCTTAAGAACTTGGAGATAGAAGGGGAGTCAAAAAATAGTGACATTATGGACCAATTCAAGCGGTGATGCTCCTTGGATTCATAGACACCTCCTAAGGAAGATAGTAAGCCTAGGAAGGGAACTCAATGACTCGTTCACATGGATCAGGAGAACTGCAAATGGGATGGCTGATTCATTAGCCAAACAGGGAGTTCATAGGCAGCAGCTTTTCTGGGGCTCTGGGCTCTATTGTGACACTTTTGTGGTGCAATGTCCTCTTTCTACTTGCTGTAATTCTGTAACTGATTCTCTTAATTGAATAAAATTTTCCTTTTTTCTGATAAAAAAAAATTAATGGCCAACATTTGTTGGTGGTTCCCCCAATACAAAGGTGGGGTACAGACTGATCTGCACAGAAGGTTAATAAGGTGAATCCAGAGAGTCCCCTCCATGATGTACAGTTCGGATCTGCCGGATCATCCCACCACATGGAAGAACTAAGTGAGATTGTAGGGAAGCTCCAACCACCAATACAAGGTGGGGTACAGGATGATATGCACAGAAGGTTGAATAGTGGTAAATACAGAGAGTTCCCTCCTTGATGTCCAGTTTGGATCTGACACATCATTCCTCCACATGGAAGAACTAAGTGAGATTGTAAGGAAATCCAGAGAGTCCCCTCCACGATGTTCAGTTAGGATCTGCCACATCATTCCTCCACATGAAAGAACTAAGTGAGATTGTAGGGAAGCTCCCTATGTTACCTGATTAGGAAACATTTTATAGTGAGTTTTGTTTGGCGAACTTCCCTTAAAAATATACCCAATATTGGAATAGAGTTGACAGAACGCAGGATTAAAACCTGGCTGACCCAGAAGGTTCCCTATCTGATGAATAATTTGGATTAGCTGAAAGATTCCTTAACAAAGTATCCCTTTTTTCAACTTTCTGGCCTTTGGCTAATTTAGTAAGAAAGAAATTCAGTCTTTCAGAGAGAAGTTACTTCTCAGAAGGCCATGTTGGGAACAGTGATAGGAGAAGTTCACTCAAGGCTAACTATCAGAAAAGAACTCAGGGATGTCCCTCAGAACCTTTTTTTTCTGTATAGACAACGTGTACTACAGTTTGCTGTCTTTTTTTTGCAGTTGGCTATCCATTGGGCTAAAACTCTGGATTTTATTATGTTTTCCTTTGATGATATTTGGAGGAATTGAGGAGTTGTAGCTAGGAGCTTAGAAATAAAGGTAAAGCCAGCTATAGCTTGGGTACCTCCTGAAGAAGGTTTAATCAAGCTCAAGTTTGATGATAGCAACTGGGGGAATCCAGGACCCTCAGGAATTGGAGGTGTTTTAAGAAATGCTGATGGCAGTTGCCATATGGTTGCTTTATTTTCAGGTCCTATTGGTACGGGGGTCTCTATTCAAGCTGAGTTTCAAGCTGTTCTGCAGGGGACACCACTTTCTAGAGAGTTGAACATTGATAGACTGCTAATTAAAGAGGACTCGAAGCTGATAATTGGGTGCCTAAGGAATCCGGACACTGTTGTTTGGGCCTACAAGGAAGCTATGAAAAGATTCAAATGGTTGACTTCTAATATGACAGTAAGAATTCAGTGGGAAAGGAGGTCAGATAATCGGATAGCTGACTGATTAGCTAAGCAAGGGGTGCATAGGGATCATCTTTTCTAGGCTCAATTTAATATGGTGCTATTTGTATAATATGCTTATGCTGATTTATTAATAATATCTTTTCTGTTACTTATCAAAAATGAACATAACTTTCTTTTCTAAGACATGATAATAAACAAACTCAAAAAGATATATGCTATGTTATAGAATCCATTCAAAAATTGTTCAGGATAAGGAAGCAGAAGATCCAAAAGCAGGAGTAAGGCAAGATTAAAACCTCAAGGACAAGTGCTTGTGTTTCCTTATCTTCAGCAATCAGCTCAAATGTTTCATTCCATACAGGATTCAGATTATTGTCGATAACCTTTGTTTTAACCTTGAATAAAGGTCGAATGTACAAAACCACATAAGGATCAGATTTACCAATCATTTCCATATTCTTTAATTCATTTGCTTTTACTACAGTCACTGTAAGCTTCCCCTGCGGTTTAAGTTCCAAATCACTGCATAATGAAAGGAGGAAAATTAGAAAAGAAAATTTACCCTTCATTAAATGAGGTAAATCAAAAGATTCAGGATGGATCAATTTCAATGCACAGTATCTGCACATGAACAAAGATTGCTCACAAGTAGGAGAATAAACAATGACAATTTCATTTAAATAAAAAAAATGATGCTATCATAATAGTGAACGAAAAGTAGGAAAAAATTTGCCATTCTACTATAAAAATATAATACTATCTCACTATAATAGGGTCCTTATAATGCAGGTACTAGTACCAGTATTACATGGACATCCCATCTTTGGAGAAGACTTGCAAGTCATCATGTGCCCACAAGTTGTACATATGTCCAACTCTGTTACTGAAGGAATCAGACAAGTTTACTAAAACACTGACCATGTCAACTTGTCAAAATTACGAATCTTCACTTTAAAGTCTTTTATTTTAGGGTGTGACAGTCCAATGTGCTTTTCTCAGTTGTTTGCTGTTAATTGGATAGGTTAAATTATAAGAAGTTTTTTTTTTATATCTCATCAATGTTGTGTGTGAATGTTATGGTAAAGAACTTGCCACAACCAACTCTCTGATTTTAATTAGCTTCTTGGTTTCAACAGAGGATCCATCTAAATTAAAGTCACAATCTATGACATCCATAAATTTTAGGAACAACCTGAGTGTTTAAGACAAAATGAAAGTATGAAAACCTTCTTCATTAACATGCGGATGTTTCTCAACTGCACATAATCCTGAACATAGACCTTCAGACAGATAGCAGAGTTCTCTTGTATGGCAGTCAGTAGAGCTGATGAGGAGATAACCATGCTCACTGCATGTGATCCACAGTGATTACGCTGGTGGAGTCATCTTTCATGGCATAACTGACAAGAATTGAGGGAAAGATCCAATTCCCTTACCATTGCATAGGCTCTATGCTGACAACACTCAAAGTTGTGGGCTTGCAGCTGTCTTTATTGGGTTTTCAGTCACTGATTATTTTAAGCTCTCTCAGTTACCAAATTGTCAAGATGATGAACCAGAAACGTCCTTGGAGGCAACAAACCAGAAACCCGACTTACCACCATGCCTGTTGCCTGAGCTTCCCCCAAGACGAATGAACAAGAAAGTTGACTTGCCTCTTTCTCACTTTTAAGAATATGACATGATATTTTGTCTTACCTGTTATCTCTACTTTAATAATGAATAAAACAATATTAAGTTGCATATGGTATTCCTACCCAAAAAATGGAAATTCTAATATCTCATTACTTGTTAATTATCAATTATGACAATTAGTTTATTGGGCAGTTAAGAAATAGCATTCCAAAAAATGAGTGTGGCACAAATGCAAATGCTTGGATGGAGAGTGGTAAAACCAGAAATGACAGGTTTAGAAACAGTCATACGAAAGAACCTAAGAGTAGCTCCAATGGGTGATAAATGAAAGTAGATGGAGATGGTTTGGTCACATGTATAGAAGACCAGCTACAGCACCTACTAGAAAAAGTGATCCATTACAAATTGAAGGAAGTAGAAGAGCCAGGGGCAGGCCAAAAAGGACTGAACAGAACAGAATGGCGAAACAGGATTCATGTAGCCAACCCCATATAGTTGGGACAAGGCATGATAATGTTGATGATTTTCTTAATATAGAAATTATGACATTTAGTTGCATACAGATTACAGAATGCTCTTAATGTCCCATGTAAATCTCATCTGTGAACTGGCCAAAGGGGCGACCATGTGCCATGGATAATAAATAATTCCTAATTTATATGAGAAATCATAATATTTAATGTATACTAAAATCTTGTTTAAATAAGACAAGTCTGCAAGTCCCACTTTCTTGGTTTGGATAGCAGCCTTGGTTAAGTGCCTTACCAAAGACAAGATCACATCTGCACCCCACATGCACATCTGAGCATGCATTGGGAACATCTCCCGTACTTGTTATTGGGAGATGTTCCCAATACACGGTTGGGATGTGCTGTGGGGCACTCTGTGTGGGGTGCCAATGTCAACTAACCAAAGACAAGCTGAGCAAGAGAGGTATTCCTATCACCTCCCCCGACTGCCCCCTTCACAATGCTGATCTGGAAACTGCATACCATCTTTTCTTACACTGCTCAGCTCATTTGGGACCATTTGCTTGGAAGGACACCTGAACTGGGTCTTCTCTACTACCATTCTTGGCTTCTTGAATAGCTGGTACATTGAGGGCCTATCCAGCAATGGTAAGCTAATGTGTTGCGTGCTTCCTGCAGTTGCTTTTTGGACCATCTAGATGGAGAGGAACAGCAAAACTTTTGAAGGCAAAATTCCTCTCAAATTGATTAAATTATACACAATATGTCGGATAAAATCTTCTCTTAGGCAAAAGCTTCAAATCTTATAGTTGAGAGAGAATTGACTGTCATAAAGGGTATGTATGCTCTACAGAGAGAGAGAGGGACCAGACCCAAAAGAAAGTTGTTCTATAGTAGGTGGTATTTCAAGTTTTTATATTTTTTTATTTTCATTTCAACTCAATTAAACAAATGAATTCATTTCCATATTAAGAATGTATTTCCAATTACAGAAAGTTTGTTTACATTTGTCAACTTTAAATAAATGAAATCATTGCATCAGCCCTACTAAGAAACACTTTCTCTAATAACTTACTATCCAACATTTGCCTTTTATTTGTTTTTTTTTTATCAGAAAGAAAATTGGATTATATTAAACTGACAATCTGGATATTACAAGGACATGGTGTATCCACCCATAAGGATTCATTCCAATCCCATTTCAGGAATAAGATTTACAATAGTGCCCAAAACATCTGTTGCCTATATACCTCTTGCTTTGCAAGAGTGTCAACCATCCCATTTGCTGTCCTTCTGACCCACTTGAAGGTTATGTTCAGCTCCTGTGCGATGCTCTCTCTTTCCCTAAATTCATGCCTTTTATTTGTTTTCACTGAACAAAAAGACCAGGCAAGACCTGAAGGACTTGGTCAGCTACCAAAAGAACTGAGGATCCTAAACTAATTAATTGCTAGATTTCTTTCTTGATGAAATAAAAGATTGGAGTGATAATCTTCCACATAATCACCACATTATAAATTAAGAATAATTAATATTCCGATCATGTGACTACAATTTCTCAATACTATGAAAGTTATAAAACTTTGCAAGGAATGATGCGTGTAAATCCCAATCAAGTTTGACAAAATAAAATGTATTAGTCATACTGTCATACCCCAACCACAAACTCTCACGAAAATAGAGAACAAGACAAGGGGGGAAAGAAACCACTAAAATTCATAATTACCTTGTATCTACAGGTATCCCACCAATTGGAACAACAATCCGATGGGGCCATTGAAGCATGTCACTGATAATCGAATTCACAGTATCCTACCAAATGACATATGAACAAGCAGCATTCCATAAACACTATCATTATGGGTCTAAATAAAGAACTGAAATATATTTGGAAAGAGCAGAATACAGATTTTGGCATTATAACAGCACTTACATCTATCATATCAGAAAGTCCAGGTATTGCTGTTAAGCTTCCTCCAACAGCTTTCAATGTATAATCTATTCTAGGCTTTGGCTGGTTGGAAATATGCAATTATTAGTTTAGTAGTCATGTTCTCAAGACAGTGCAATTGATATAATAGTCAAAGAATAACTTAGTAGCTTCACGATTCAATTAAATAGCATCTTAGCTCCTGTATAAAATATACCATGTAATAGCTGCTCAGCCTTTTAAGAGGAGAATAGAAGTTTTAAAATACTTCAAAATCCTTAAAAACATGAGTTTAAAAGGTTGGTATTGTTGGATACCATAAATATACATGGTCCAAGAGGCCAAGAAAAGAATCTTAAACAACATTCACTTCAAAAGTTTGATTTGAACTAAACAAATATCATACTCAGTTAATGCAGCTTGAGTAAAGACAAAATGCAGTCTTATTTTTATGTCTAGAATGCTGCTTATGTAGTGCGGTTCTACATCCAGTGCTAAAACATTATGTCAGTTAAGCAGAGTGTTTGCAAGGCCAACCTGATTTTATAAACAATATCACCCACCTCAAGGGGTTCAAGAAAGTTGGACCATTATCTGATTTTGTAAATTGACTAATTAATGGTCACACGCATTTATTTGACAAAAAGACCCTTCATGCACTACAGGCAGCAGAATAGCAGATGCTGACACTTTCTACCTGTATTATGCAATTTCAAGTTGAAAATAATTTAAAGCTATGACATGCAAAGGAAGAACTATTCCAATGAGTTTGCAATACATAGAATTTCTTCACTGGGTATACCTCAGAAAGGAGAGCAACAACAACAGCAGAAATGCAAGGGATCTCTTCAGCAAGTTGGAAGATAACACGTGCAACAGTGAAAACCTGAAGGTCCTTCAACTGCAACCAACAGATGAAGCATAATATTTAAGAAAGCAGTATCTTAACATGCATCAACATGTCAATTGTAAAAGATGGGAAATATTAGGTTTCATTACTTATATACCCTGAGATTTGAGGAAACTACTTATATATACCTGTAGTTTCAAAACCTACTTACATATACCTTGTAAGATGGCCCCACATAACATAAATAGGCCATCCGTTAAGAAACATTTAGGTGCCCATTAAATTTTTCTATAATCCCATTTTTACCCCTCTTCTCCCCTTCCTCTCCCGACAGAAGGAACCAGAGTAGCACATCTCCCCATTCTTCTAACTGAAGGAGAGCAAGCCGCTCCTCTCTCTCTCTCTCTCCCCTCCTCTTCTTCTTCGCTTTCACCCAGTGTTTCCTTTCTCCTTTGTCAAAGAGAGAGGTAAAATGGATGAGCTGAGAAAAAAATGGGAGGAGCAATAACTTTTGATTAATTTTTACAATGGGCACACCTAAACTAAGAGAGGATTTTGTAAAAAAATGAAAGGGGCACACCATTTCAGACAGTGCAGGGAGACCCAATTCCTTTCGAGGCAAGTATCTGTTCACTGACCTTAGCAGTGGCACCAATAACAAAAGGGATTGGGATTAAAGCCACCATTTCAGGGACGAGTTCTCTCTGTTCAGTGACCTTAGCAGCGGTGGCAGAGCAGGGAGGAAGGGAAGAAGAAAAGAGAGAATCGGAAAGAAGGATGGTGCTGTTCTCTGTTAGGGTTAATGTTTGAAAAGTCAACAAGGTATATATAAGTAGTTTCCTCAAACCTCAGGGTATATATAAGTAATTATCCCTTAACATTATCCAGTACATAAGCAGCCTCATAACCACTATTAATGAAATTTTCATTCTGGGAAAAGCTTTAGATATTTCATCAAGTATGTAAATTATTCATAAATATTTCTTGACTAACCTGAATAGGAAGTGATGCAACAAGTGCTGCTTCAACAGCAAGTATGATGCTTGGATCACCGCCCCATCGAAAGTCGATATCCATTGTGATCTGACCTTCCTTAAGGCTCTGAACACGAATGCCTGCATCAATTAAATCATTATGTAGTGCAAATATACATTAGAAGTGTTCAACATAAAAGAGAAATACTCAGAAGCAGCATATAACTTGCATATGATACATCAGGTGTATCATATCGTTCTGGCAAGTCACCAATATGCTTTTCTAAGGCTTTTCCGAAAAACCATGCTTTTAAATGTTAAATAACATTTAAACCAGCCCCCTATGAAAATATGAAAGTAAAAAAATAAAAAATAGTCCAGACAAGCAAGCATGCCTATGTAAAATATTCTTCCTTCAATCTTATAAATGCAGATACTGTGGAGGGAAAACATTATAAACTCAGACCTTCAATCTTAGGTGCCACATTTCCAAGAGAGAGTTTGCTGAACTTCAGCGAAGTAATCCCTGGAGGTCGATATTCTTCCAATAGTGGTTCAACAGATTCTCTTATGACCATCGTTGCTGCCTGGCAACAAGCACAGGTTAACAATTTTAAGTAAAAAATTAAAATAGGAAACCAGTGGACAGACTCCAAACACAGAAGTGACAAGGCATTGGTAAAACATTCTTCCATGACATTTTCAAATTTCAGATACTGTACATTTCTTAGAAAACAACAGACATCAAGAAAATATTAACAATGAAACTGACTGCAAACACAAAAATGACAAGGTATCAGTAAAATATTCTTCCTTGACATTTTTAAATTAGTTCCTGAATGCAAAAATTAATTCAATGGTCATCTCATAGAAAATGACAAACATCAAGAAAATATGAACAATGAAACTGAAAAAATTCTTGACAAGTTGGTACAATACAATCATATCGTGCAAGAAGCAAGCAAGAGTTAACAGTCACTGCCACTGCTAATTGGTTACCACATTCTGCCAATGGACTGTTGACAATTTGGCAAAAGAGGGGCATTAAGAAATGAGATAAACACTCCCCTCCATGACTTTATTGTCATCAAACTGTACTGTTATCTCACATAATTAATTAATACAATAAATTTCTTGCTGATAAAAAAATGAGATAAACAGTCTATCAAAAAGAAATGAGATGAACAGATTCCCACCCACCCCCCAATGAATTTAGAAAAGGCAGGCAACCAACGCTAGCCACCTTGCAGGAAAAATAGAAGTACTCTTTGTACTTTTCAATTTTCATATTAATAAAATTCAGAATCACTACTCATAAAAAATGTGCAATCAGTCAGTTCTATTTTTGTAAAAATAGAAATAGCAGTATTAGTTTTATCCAAAACAAATTATTGCCGTGGAGACAAAAAATAAATCCTATCAAAGAAGAAGAAAATGATCACCTTAACACTAATTTCGTGGGGAACCGGTACAAAGAAGAGTTAACAGTCAGTGCCACCTATGATAAACCAGTACTGGATCAAAGTCACACTGGTTCACCATGACACCTCTTCATCACAACTCACTCAATACCAGAAGTGGGGTTAACCCAGCCAATGGCTATCTCCACGCCACCAACTTGGATTAAAAGAAAAGGTGACCCCAATAGTGTGTGCAAAGTGCACTTCATGAGCCATTACCCATGTACACATGGATAAACATGTGCATGCATGCTCCTCGAACACCCAAGAAAGCAAAGGAATGAGGTAGGTTCGTGGGATCAAATATACCCAAGAAGGGTCTTATAAATTTTTAATGTGCATAAAAAAATCTTTAACATCAAAGAAAGTGGAGTATTTTTCAAATATGACCAAATTGAAAACATATCCAACAAACAATCAGGTACAACAAGTAACTTGCATCCCTGAACTATCCCAAGTGTAGATACCCAATGAAACATAAGCAAAGCCAGCATCCAAATGAGTATTTGTGTAATTCCTGAATTTTAGAAGGGAAAGGACAATATATGCAATACAGTCCAAAAGAAAACATAACGTCAAAATAGAAGGTTAGAAGTCATATAACCATATATAATGGAATAATGGATATACAGAATAGCATGCAAATAAGCTTACATCAGCAATAAAAGGCCACATTTTGCTCAGTTGCTTATTCAACCATTTGACCTGAAAGAGACAGCATAAGAAAATATTACATACATAAAATGGAAAAAGGAAAAGAAATGAAGGGAAAAAACCTGATAACCATTAAGCTCAAAATTTGGCAAAGAATTAATACTTTCCTACATCACAGCACAACATAGTAAACCATATAGTTTACAAATTAATTGAATTTGTAACTAAAGGTTTAAACTTGGTCAAATACAGAAAATGCAGAAAATCATGGCTCACTCAAAAGTAAAATATTGTTGGTTGTTCTCATCTTGTAAAAGTAAAACTGCAAAAAAATTCAACCGATGTTTCAGAAAATTTGAAGTTCCTGGTCAATGTTTTTTACAATCCAAAAATAACTTTAAATTTTTCTGAAACTTGATTCAAATAAAAGAAAGTAATGCATCCTTATTGATTAAGCAACTGCCACCAAAACAACTAAGCCCTATTTACCACTTATTTGGCCATTGCATCAGCCAAACTATTTGCTAACTTTTCCCCCCATGAGAATGTAGTTCCCACTTCCCTAGCCAAGTGTCTTACCTTCCTCATGATTATGTCAGTATTGACACTGAAAGTGGGTATTTCCAACAAAGATGATGGAAAAGAAGATGCTTGTAAGTTCTAATCATGAATGTAACTGAGATTTTTAAGTTTTGGTTTCAAAATAGGTACTGATCTTGCCTCAAAGTAAATTTGCCTAGAATTTGGGAGTTCAATAGAAATGTATTAACCATCTCTTTTTCCTTTATGATCCCATGCATTACCTTGCTTTCCCATTTGTTCTCTACCTTATTTCCAATAAGAAATAGTTATTGGCTGGTAATCATATATTCATATACAAGCCCTGCCAAGACCCTATTGATCTAGGTCTAAAATGACATGATAGAATGAACCTATGTTGGCACCAGTTATTTATCTCATCAAAGCAACTACAACAATCAAGTTCATAAATAGAATCTAGCCAAGGCTTAAAATTTCACTGTCACTGGAAATGCTAATCATCCAAATATAGGAAACATGTCATAAATGTAGTATGGAAATACTGTAAAAATTATAAACAAGGGAGAAACAATGTGAAATATGCGGAAATATACAATGATATTTTATAAGATGATAATAGAAGCATATGTACACCTTTTAGATTATTATCTTGTTCTACACCATCGAACAAAGCTAAGAAACTAATGTTAATAGACAAAAAATGCACTACAAAGTTGTCCTGCAGAATTTAAGAACCATAATTACATAATATAGTGAGTTCAAGCAAAATTTGAATTCATAATAAGTGTAACTGATTCTAATAGATCAACCAAATAATCCATTACACAAACAAAAACTAAGATTTAACTTCATGTCTAAAAAGAATTTCCAGCTGGCTCAAAGTGGTAATCATGTCCATCTCCATTAGGTGGGTAATAATACTACTACTCCACATATATACAATATTGTTGCCAACTTATGTTACAATACCATTTCATGAACTCCACATGGTCTTGGTAGTTTTCACTGGGAAATATGTCGATTCCAACAATATTTCATGTCAGTAGCCATGGAAATGGAAACATGTCATGGAAATGTCAGGAACTACATTGACAATTTAAACCATGGATCTAGCTTGTAAAATAAAAGAATAACTTACTTGTTCATACACAGGGAAAGATATCCATTCAGGATAATTATCACCACAAATTTTCTTCAAGTCATCTCTGCCAAGGGATCCAAGAAGTTTTATATCAACTGCCTGCATATGATGAGAAATGTAAGCATAGTTATTATAAAACAGTAATCTAAAGGAGGGGATAATCTTCATCTGCATCATTAAAGAAAGGACCACCCAGGGTAAAACTAAAAGTTATAATATTCTCATTAATGGTCCAGCAGCTAGTAAATGTCGGAAACATGCATTAGAATGTAAAAGACTTCTATTGGAAGCTTCCATGACCACTAGTAGCTATTTGGGGTGTTAGAGAATAAGCAAATTAAAATGCACTCCATGATAATTATTCACTCTAGAAGGTCTATATTATGATGGCTTACCGGGATTCTATCTTTGTGTTTAGAGGCATAGCTAACCAAATAAAATAATAAAACATTAGGCCTTCTAAAACTCAGTCTCATCCCAGTATGTAGGGAATTCATTAACCCTACATTCTCCAAACTCCTGCTTCAATAAGCTTAACTTTTGGGAGTTCGGAAAGACGGAAAGGATGTCAACACCATCTGGTATTTGTCTAAGGAGAATTCTGAAATCCCATATTGTTCATGGCTGGAGTAGCAAGAAGATTATGCTCTATGGAAGTACTTCAGTAGAGTTGAAGCTGTGTCCACCTAGGATTCAAGAGATTAGTGGCGGAAGGTAATTCTAGCTTGCTTTTTTGTTCCATTCAATGTTTTCAAAGGCACTGGAAGCATGCACCTGGATGCACATAGTAGAGCATCATATGCTTCTATACTGGAGTCTGGAGGCATACACCTCTATTGTGCTTTATGTAGAAGCCGTATGCCTCATGCTCTTATCAATTAAGCTAGTTTTTTAGAATAAAAATATTATAAATAAAAGTTGGAGAACCATCTTATCGTGTTACCCATTATATACTTTGATTTGCAACTTTGCAAGTGAAATATTGATGGCTAATGATATCTATATAATTATGGATGATGATACTCCATGTGATGATACTTCAATTCTATATTCAAATGCAATGGTTTTATTATTAGAAATTGCAAATATGAAATTTTCTAATTTCTCATAATGTTCCCCATTTTTGGATATTTGCTATATTTTTTATTTATCTTATCTTATTTTTAATTATTTATTAATTAAAAAAAATCCATACTAGGCAGGATTATGCCTCTTGCTTCTGACTTCGCCTCATAGCTTAGGAAAATAGAACACCTCCACATTTTAAAACTTTGGTTCACTCATGGGAGGGCTCCCCACAATGGAGATACACTTTCTTAAAGAGGTTTGGGCTTTTAGCATCCTATTGAACACTTAATCAATATGGATGCCAAGGTTCACCAATTATCTAGCATATTAACTGTTTTGTATGGCAAGATCTTGGTTCCCTTGTAGATATGGTGTGTGGTGCTATGGGTTTGTTCCCATCTCCTTCCTATTTTGGTCTTTGGCTTATGTTTTCTGGTCACTCTCTCTGTTGATGCATACAGACACGGACTAATGGCATGGCCATCCAAGCCATCTACCAGATAAGGGACCCTCCAGATTAACCATCTATTCTATTCCCCATTACATATCATCTAAGCTTTGTCCTATCTATATGGGGTCGGCTACATGAATCCTGTTTTGCCATTCGGTTCTGTCCAGTCTCCACTCTCCAGTGCCACAAAATAACAAATCAGGATCCATGACCGTGAGAGTTCCGCCTACCAACCTCATGCAACCCTCTTTAGCTCCTCCTTTAACCAAGCTTGGGACCAGCAGTGTAAGACAAGCTCACACTAGAAGAGTTTTTTTGAAAGGTTATTCATCAATATTTTTTTTGAAAGGCTATTTTCATGTGAAAGATTGGCCACTGAAAGTATTTAACTTCCCCAAAAAGAGAGCTTTATTCTGACCGCATGGCAAGGGTTTTGGGCTCAAATTTCCACGTCACGAACTGAATGTTCGTGACATACCACAGTAGAGAGCTCCATATGAGCATCACTAAAAAGACTAATTCCGATGTTTCTTCAGTATATGGCTAACAATGGTAACATTGTAAGGCAATGAACAATGAATGAAAATACAATTATATGTTTGGTAATATGAACTGAGAAAATATCGGGTCGCGACAGCCGTCTTCTGGAAAACCATTAAACAAGCTCTTGTCTAACAGGCAAACATAACAGCATGGACTCAGCATTTTGAAATACCACCCCCCCCCCCCCAAGCCCCCAACATGCTCAGTGGTAAACAATCAAGGCTACCATATAGTCAATCTACATATGTTTTGCTCTAAAGCTAAGTGAAAGTGTGAAACTAACTCTGCATATTCAAGCAGAGCGAAAACAGCAAAAGATTCTGAAGCCAAAACGATCCAATTCTTCATTGCCGCGCTTCTCTCAGGCTTATAGGATCATTTCGAATGCAAGCGCTGTGTAAACGAGGTGGAAATTTGTCTAATTGTGCAAACAAATATAACTCAAAACTCCAACCCTGAAGTAAATACAAAGAATGGACCGGAAAAGGAAGAATTACAGAACCAAAGAAGCACCAAGAAAGAGAATCAGTAGCTTACCTTAGCGATACGTTTAGTGCTTCTGTACCTCATCATGTGTCGCCAACCAGCCATCATGGCGATCCCGACGATCGTCCCCATTAGAATTCCAGAAATCAAACCCATCTTCTTCAATTTCCAAAACAAAAAAGAATATCTAGAACTAGAAGGGAGAAAAATCGAATTCCAGTTCCAGAAGACTGAACAGAGTCACAGACAACAACCCCTCAAAGATCAATGCTCCATTCCTTCATAGAGTAAACCAACGGAAGGCGGAGAGCGCCATCTGGGAGTTGGAAAAGAAGAATCAGAAGTGAGAAGCAGGAGCAGGTAACGAAGAGAAGAAGTTTGGGATCAGAGTGAGAGAGAGCGAGAGAGAGAGAGAGAGAAATAAATGGAAAAGCAATCAATCAATTTTCGTGGCGCCCGTCATTTATTTTATTAATTTTGCACCAATTACAGTTTACACATTTCATTCTACTTCTTGCGTTGTATTCCCTCCACCAGCGCTGGAAAATTAAAGAATATTATTATTATTTTATTATAATAATTTCCCCTTGCGTCCGTTTTAAACTGATTTTCACGTTAGTTGAATCCTGACCGTCTGATTCTCAGCTACGGTTGGAAAAGCAAAGAGACAGAACGTAAAACAGAAAAAGGGCTTTTCTTCTTTTCTTCTTTTCTTCTTTCCTTCTTTCCTTCTTTTCTTCTTTTCTTCTTTCCTTCTTTTCTTCTTTTCTTCTTCACTCGGTCGTCTCGTCTCTGTCTTTGTCTCTCTTGTGTGTTAATCACTTAATTGTTGTCTGTTTTGACTTCTAACTAGCCCTGTTTATCAACAAAAAACGGCTACACAAAAAGATTCCAATCTAGCGGTGGTAAAAAGTAATTTGTGGCAAGGGAGGTACGGTACCGACTACGGACTACCGAAGTAGACTGTTGGTTAAAGGCAGATTTTTTTCTTCAGTATCTATTACCATAAATAATGCCTGATACTTGCCTTATCTTCACGTCAATACGAATATACGATCTACCAATTTATTATTTTCTTTCCACTTTCTACTTCTCTCACTTGGTAGTGCACGTGACACTCAACTATCATTCTATCAATTAGTATCAAATGTTTTGTTTTGTTTTGTTTGCCGACACAAAATAAGAAATAAAACTACATGAATAAAGCGGATAATGAATAATTGAATACAATATGGACTTTTTTTTGTAATAAAAAATTTAAAAACGGATTGGGACATGAAGAGATTGGATCAGGGTACCTTCAGGGTAACCCCTTTTTTTTAGGTATTGAATGGAATTATGGAAACTGAATATCAGCTGACCCAAAGAATGGGGCCCATGATTCAAGTGACAAGGAAAAATATCAAACTCCCACAGGCTGGAACCGAACCGAGAGAGTCCGAGATTGTCGAACGCCTTTGTTTGGACAACTTTGGACAAAGACCTGAATGGCAATGGGGGGGCGTATTTTGGGCGAGGATCATATTCTTATGACCCTGATTCTCATGAGCTTCATCTATCTCTGATGGAGACAGTTTCCTCATTAGGCGCCAGAATTTTCGAATTTCTTTACTTAAAAAAGTATTTTTGGGAAATTAGATGTGAGTTGGAGTTGGTTGGGGTTTTCACTAGGGATGTAATTTCTACCTATCCGGTGGTTATCCACCCCCATGGGGCGCTTTTTTTTTTTTTTTTTTTTTTGCTTAAAGGGTCGATTTTGGAGTGGGGACAGGTTTTGAGATTCTACAATTAGTATGGGCATGGATAGGGTAAGGTATTAGGCTAAATTCAACCCTCTTTAACCCGTATATTGTTGGAAAACATATAAACTTTATATATTAGTTGTTAAATTTAATAATATTTTAAATTTTACATGAATGATAATTGATAGTTTATGTATTTTTTACATGTCTTGATCAAATAATTATAATTTTTATTGTTTATTTCTATTATTTTATTTATTTATTACTTATATATGACAATAAATAATAGAAAATTAGATGTGGGTTCTAACCCAATCCACCCCTACCCTTGAATGCAGGGAGGATAGGATCAGGCCGTCGGGGAGGGTTTTGCATTTTCATATGCAATGAGGGTTTGGATTCTCAAAATCCAACCACCACAGGTTTTGGGGTGGGTATGGGTTGGGAGGTTTATAGAGACATATAGGGTCTAGAATTTACAAAACCCTCCCCGAATCCGTCTTGTTATCATCCCTAGTTTTCACTCCTCATCCCTGTCTCATCTCCATCTCTACCAAGGTATTCTCAATCTCCAACCCAATTGGATTGGAGAGACCGCCATCTAGCAAAGATGGGGAAATTTGTTGTCCCTACCCATGGCAACTTCAAGACTTCATTGGGCTTGAAGTCCCTTCCTCAAGAAGCACATGGACCTTCAAAGTTAATATGGTGAAGGAAAAACCTCACAAATAAACAGTTTGGAAATCATGATTTTTAAAAACCAACCAAGAAATGGAACCACTTTGAGCATTGATACGTAGGTTAAATGGTCCAATCGACTAGTCTAAAGCTGGGTCAAATGGTTTTGGGGTCCAAAATCGGACCCAGAGCCATGACTGGTTCCCAAATCAACTGATCTGACCATTTAATCTGGTCTGGTCTTCAAAACCATGTTGGAAGTTCAAACTCCTACCTACTCAAGAATAAGAAACATGATTTTTATTCCACAATAGGAATTTCCTCAAAAAACATAAATGTGGAGGAATAATACCAAACAGGGCCTTAGCAAACCATCGTCTCTCGATGGAATGCATCTACCCACGTTGTCAGGAATAGGTGTGAGCACTATTGGGTCCAAACTGGAAAATCGAACAAAAAATATTGGTTTTGGTTTGTTTGGTTTGGTATTTTCGATTTTTTGGTTAAATCAGTTCGGTTAATTCGATTTTCAATTTTGGATTTTAGAATTAGAAATCCGGTTAACTGAATTAACCGAACTTTCTATTATTATATATATATAATATGTAAGATATAGTATATAAATTGTAACATATAATATATAATATAATAAATTTTAATTTCATAATATATATTTTATAATATATAATATATATAATAAAGTATATATTATTAAAATTCAGTTTTAACTTAAATAACTAAAAATCGAACCAAAAATTTTGATTTTTCTATAATTTAGTTTCGATCCTGTTTTAATTTTTTTAGTTCGGTTTTTAAATTTTTGGTTTATTCGGTTCAATTTTTAACTGAATAAACCAAATACTCACCCCTAGTCAGGAACATGAGGAAACAATCGAACACCTACTCTTCTATTGTCCTCAAACTAGTTTGGTTTGGTTCAGCCCCTCCCTCAACCTCCTTAGTGTTTTAACAACAAAGCTCCAATCTAGTAATCACACTTAGGGCCCATTCGTTTATCAGATTTTGAGAGGGGAAAGTTTGTAAATGACCAAGATACCCATATTCTTTTTCAGATTTGTATAGGGTCCACAAAAAATTCATTTCCCTGGATATCACTTACTTCTATCCCCTAGGTGGGTAAGTATCTTTCCCACCTGGGGGAAAAGTTGCCCACACTTAAATAGGACAAAATTGTCTCTTTTAACAATAGTTTTTTTTATGGCTGAAAATGTCATTATCTTATTTACCAAGGAAATAAAATAACATGGGTAAATGCACTTACCCAAGTAAGGCCTTGTTCACTTTTCGGTAAGTTACTTACTCGGGTAAATGCAATTATCTGGATAATTTTTTCTTGGGAAAACACTTACCAGGTAAGTACATTTACCTATGTTCTTTTATTTCCTAGGTAAATAAAGTAATGACCATTTTAGCCATAAAAATCCATTATTAAGAGGTATTTTTGTCTCATTCAAGTGTTAGCAACTTTCCCCCTAGGTAGGAAAGTTATTTACCCACCTAGGAGATGAGTATCACTTACCCGGGTAAGTGGTACCTAGGAAAAATTAACTTTCCCTAATCCCCACATAAATCTGAAAAATAAACATGGTATTTTTGGTTAATGAGAACCAAAATCCCATTGACCAACTTTTCCCCCTCTTAAAATCCAAAAAAAGAATGCCCCCTAAGTGTTTTCTGAGAAACTGGGTAAATAGCTTCCAAAAGAAAAATGAATATGACCAAAAGAGCACTTCTTTATCAATTACATTCCAACTATATTGGCTTTGCTAAACACTAATGCTGCGAACTAGTCAAATAATCCCCACACCATTACAAGACCATGATGGAATTTTTCGTCCCATGACTATAAGAAGATCAACATTGATGAAGCCACCTCTTATTCTGACGTGGATGTGGGACCATCACAGGAAGTTCATCTATGCGAGAGCCATGTTGTTGGAACCAGCTCCACCACTAGCCAAAAAAGCTCTTGCATGCTTTTCTTTATTTACTGTTTTTATTGTAGAATAGTAAATTTTTTTCTTCGTTAGTTTTTGAGCTTCAAACCTTCCATTCTATATGTCTTATATATTATGAGAAGAATATAAAAGAAATGATGGTGTCTCAGTTGATACCTTATCTAGTTAGTTGTAATAGAGACTTGGGTTGGGGCAATGGGTTACCTCCCATGACCCGTGCAATGCATGGGATGCTGTATTTCTATTTTTTATGTGTAAAAAAAAAATTCTTTGTTAGTTATTGAACTTCAAACTTTCCATTCTATGTAGCTTATGTATTATGAGAATCACATAAAAGAACCGTTGGTGGCTCAGTTGATACCTTATATAGTTAATTGTAGTAGAGACCTGGGTTGGGGCAATGGGTTACCTCCCATTGTGTAGCCCTATAAAGCAAAAAAAAAAAAAAAAAGTTGCTTAGCACAAGATTAATAACCAAGTTGAAAAAAATACAATTTCAATATTTAACTTATATGAAGATAGCTAAAAACTCGCATTAAGTTCTTTCTTACCATATTTTATTATTGAATCGGAACAATCCATTAAAAAATCTACTTTAAATTAAATTAATAAAAACAAAGGAAAAAAACCTAAACCCAAGGAAATGAGCAAAATAGAGGGGGAAACCTAATAACCCAAGGAAAGGAGCAATTATTTGTTTAGGTTGGTTCACCCCATGTACTGGTGGGAAAATTTGGGTTTTTAGACATTAATTTGGGTCGATTGCCAAAAAAAAAATGACATTAATCTGTGTCCAAGCTAAGGTTCACATTTAGGTTGACCCTTAACCTAACCCAATCCATCTAATTTACACCCTACTTTATTAKAGAGAGCCAAAAGGGGTTAAGAGATATTTAAGAAGAAAACAAGGACTTAATTTAATGGGGAAGGGAAATGTTACAAACATTAACCATTAACTATTAAGGTGTGTATGTGAGAGAGAAAGAGAGAGTAAATATGGATTTTATGAGAGACAATAGGACCATGAAGTTTTTAATGATTTAATACAAAAATAAATGTGTGTACATGTGT